CATTAGTTTGCATGTTATTACTGGTAATTATGACAGTACATGGAATGCTTTTAGCAATCCTAATTTCATGAAAAAATACAGAAAATAATTACAATTTCTTCATTTATATAATGCTTGGCCTTCTGGGGCAACTACATTTTTTTTTTTACATTATTGTGCAGTGTAGCCATATAAAAATGGTATATTTTAGTTAGCAATAACTAATAAAATAAAGATGTAATATATATTTAACTTTAGGAGGAACCAAAACATTATCAGTCTGGTTGAGAAAAATGCAGTATTTTTTTTTTTCTTTTCTCCCAGCAGTTGAGGTTTACCATAGTACTTATAAAGAGCTTTTATCTATAGTGGAGGCTAAGTTTCTAATTCATTAAAGTACGTTTGAAATTTGTACCCCATCTGTTAAAAAAGTATCAGTTGAAAACTGGAACTATTTGGTTCCCAGAAAGGAACCAAATTTGCTGCCCAGAGAGGTTGTGGAGTCTCCCACTCTGGAGACATTCAAAACCCGCCTGGATGCCGTCCTGTGCAACCTGTTGTAGGTGACCCTGCTCTGGTGGGGAGTTGGACTAGATGATCTCCAGAGGTCCCTTCCAACCCTGATCATTTTGTGATTCTGTGATTCTGTTCTGAGCATCTTTGCTAATTTGCTCTTAACCCTTCACTTTTCTAGACTTTTAAGCCATTTTGGCAACCACCATCTTATCTATTTCACAAGAATATTATGGAACACCATTCATAGCTGTACATGTGAGATTATTTTTTTACAGTGCTTTTCATCAGCAAGTGCATAGGAGGCCAAAAGATGAATGTAGATTTATTTGAGAGTTGCTCACACGAAAATAAATGGAGGTTAAAATGAAAGGTTGAGCTCTCCTGATTACTGAAAGTGAAACTGCAGATCTGAGTTTGACAGGGTAGGTCCATCGGCGTGCTAGCTTGTTGCATCCATGAAGCACTCACAAATTACCAAGAGAAGCTGTCCGCTGGTCTGCATCTCTTACTCCTGCTGGTTGTGTAGGGTCTATGGGCTTCACCCTAAGTGGTGCGCAGTTCAAGTGCAACAACAGTAATTCAGGTCCAGTGTGTGCAATGTTTAGCAGCACAGAAAATAAGTCTTCTCTTCAAGAAGTACAGAGAAGGGAGTTGGCAAAACAGAAATGCTTAGGCTTCCAGGGAGAACATATTCCCTGCACTCATGCCATCCCAAATCCTCAATTGGTTTAATTTCACAGTGGTGTGGAAGATTAGTAGAGCATCTTTAAAGAAAATTGGCAAATACACAGGGAAACCAGTTGGCAGTTTGAGGTGAGATGGTCAGCCCATCTGTTTCTGATTTCTACACACATCAGGACACTTTTATTAACAAATTCCCTGCTGTTGTGGGGAAGAAGGACATTGGCAATACCCTTGATATTGCTAAGATATTTGTGCCAGGAGTATATTTCTGTGGGGTTTGGTTTTTTTTACTGTATGCCTGATATTTTTTTAAATGGTGCCAGAATATTTTATGTGACCTGTAGATGTGTGCAACTCAGGTGTACCCAGACATAATCTTCTGGCAGAAAATTCTGGACTTGATAAGTATATCTTAATTGCCTGACATTGTGGAGGATCAGTTCAGTGTCCAGGTAATCCTTTCCAGGCATGTATTTCTGAAGAAAAGAAAGTAGTTGGCACAACTCAGAGCCTCATTGGATCTTACAAGGTGCACCTCATCAGGTGCAAGAGCAAGAATAACT